ACATAAGAAATTTCTTTTATACATCATCTTTCTAAACAATTATTTTCTCCAGTTTATCTAGAAAATGCTTGTCTTGATTTTTTATGTGTATGTTTCTTAGTTTTGTAAGCTTCTCTTGCAGGAAAATTATAAAACTCAGAAATATATTAATGGCTTCTTCATTTCTATGAACATGAATGAGGAATGTGGCTTGTGTTTACTTGTAATAGACAAGAAGCAGCATCAAAAATAACTAATTTAAACATCAGAGATTATTGTATTTGGTCTATTTAAATCTTGTTTCTTTCATTGAGGCAACATTTAAAATGAAATAATACTTGGGATTTGAGACATAAGGTCAACAGAGTACATTTTATAATAATAATTTTATGTTTTTTTTACATTTTCTTTCCATTTATTCCATAAATACATTTAAAAGATAATTCATATCAAATTACCATTGAAAATGAATTTAATACAAGCTCAAAAACATTAATGTAAATTAACAACAAGTTAAAATATTTGATATGTTCGGTTTATTACTTCTCAGTTGGAATCTTTCCAAGTTCATGAAACTATTATGAAGAATTTTTTGGCTTTGTTGCCCCATTTATCTGACGTAACCTGAATAAATATATAAACCAAGCTAATAATAACATTTTTTCTTTTTATTTTTTTTATTAAATCATAAAGAAAGAGCATTTAGATGAATGAAAATTTGAATAATTGATAAAATTTCTTTAGATAAAATAGCAACTTATTTATAAGTTTTTAATTTATTACATAAAAGTGATGAAATATTTAATAATATTTTAGACTGCATGCTTCCAAGAAGAACGAGATGTCTTGGTTAACGGAGATAAAAGATGGATTACAAACTTGCATTACTCATTTCAAGATGGCAAAAATTTGGTGAGTGAGGAATTTATTTCTTTATTATAAAACCCTTCGTTAAACTTAACGAATACAAATTAGTGGGACGCAGTCGTAGATATCAAATTACATATAACTTATTAAAGATCCGTAGATGTTATTCTTAGTATAATAATAATAATTTTTTAAGTATAATTTGAAAACAATCACTTCTCTCATTTAACCTTGACTCTTGTTAAATGTTTGGACTAATTTTATATCATAAGTGTCTGCTAAAGTTTCAGATTACTATCAGGACTCTCTTTGAAGTAGTAGCCTATATGAAGTAAAGAAGTTATTGTGTTTACGACTTTTTTTTGCAATATTACTTAAAATTACTTTTAAAATGTTTTATTTTCTAAATGTTACACACACGTGTTTAAGTATATGTATTTATATATTCGATTATAAGGCAAAGTTTTATTATTTTGAACTTTAGATATCAGTTTTTAAGTATGAAAGAAATAATTTATCAGAGTTATCTTTATTGAGAGGGAGATTAATAAATATAAATTATTATAAGTATTGATTGTTAAGATATAATACAGGTTTAAGCCACTGTATTAAGAATTACAAAAAATAAATAAATGTTTGTTTTGTTTTTTAATTCATTGTATAGATGGCCAAAACAGTGGTTCGTATGGTCGTTATCGGCGTTTACATGGCTGTAACTGATCAAAATAGACACTCATGGCTTTTTCTTTAATATTTATCTCAACGGCAGATGCCGTTGAGATAAATATTAAAGAAAAAGCCATGAGGCATGTTGCCGTTATCTCAAACTACATAAAGTACTAGTCTCGGCAGCACTTATGCTAAAATTGGAATGTTATAGAGAAGATTAGTGTGGTTCCCATACGAGGGCAACACACGTATTACATAGAATAAACCAATCAAAAAGAAAATTTTGTCTAAACTTATGTACAATGCACGCAAGAGGAGTATTTAGAGTTAACAGGATATAATCTAAGTGTCCGAAACTAGTAACTTGATTTTATATATATTACTTAAAATTAAACTAATTATCTTCAATTTACTTTTTTCTTGTGGTATATAATTTCTGATTTTAGTAAATATAAATATCTTAGCTATGTTTACATTAAATTCATATTAATGATGAAACTTGGATATCGAGATAATAGTCCAAGTACGTAAGGATTGAATATCGCCTGTACTCTTACGGGATGCATGAGAGAGTAATAATGATCTGCATAATAGTTTATGGAAATTATATGTAAAATAATATTTTTTCTAAACAGTTGCTACATGTATTTGTTAATAATAGTTGATAACAAAGTTTTGTCTGAAAATTATATTAAAATAAAAGATTTTTATTTGGGGGATTACTTATGAAATTCACTAGTTTCGATGTCTAGAGTTAATTATTTTAAAAATGCTGTTATTTTCTGTCATGTCAATATGTTAAACATCAAATTACAGTTATAAAATTTACCTTTGTTTTTTTATTTTTCAATAACCTACTTAAAATCTGTTTATATTAAATATTAAAATTTATCTAAAATATGTCATATGTTTAATAACTGTCCATCTTTAGTCATTTTGCGGAGGAATTCTTTGGGAGGGGTTTAATAGACTTACCAGGATCCACACTCTGTGTACACAGAAGTTAAAGGATGCCATGACTTTTAACATAAAGTCAAACATGAGGAACTTTATATTTTCTTTTTTTCTCCTCTCTTTTTCCTCAAATAAACAATTTTTGTTTGGCTGTGTTTTTTCTCTGTATATCTTTAATTAGTATTTATAGAACAATTGAGTAAAGTATGAAGAAAAAACAGGTTATAAAACAAATTTTAGAAATTTGTTTTATAGCCTGTTTATAAAGTAAAATAACTTGTGTCTTTTGTTATTTTTTACAGAGCAAACAAAAGCAGAAATATAAACCTTTTAATATGAAATAGTATACATGAATAGTTCTATATTTTTAGAGATCGGTACAAAAACATTCTGCTTAAACCCAAGTTTTCAGGTCTTTATAAACCCTCTTTGTGGGGTTTCAAAACTGTTGTGATAAGCAGAACACAAATTCTAACATGACAGTTTTGGTACCACATCATTGGACGATGGGATGGAAGGTGTAAAAGTATAGGCATGCCACTGAATTTATGGCAACCAATGGTCCGGAAACTCCTTCTATAAGGACTAAACTATGACTGGAACTTGAAATTTCTGTGGCTTTTAGACTAGTTTACTGGCTGACTAAAGATGCCATCATGCATAAGGCACACTTACTTACATTATTTACATAGCACTTTGTGTTGACAATATTGTAATTTTGTGATATTCTTTATTTTACCTAAATTTAACCTAACTAGCTTCTAGGAGTGGTGAGTTTGTCAGTGGTGGCGTCAAGCATAAACAGTAGTCCATATTGATCTGAATTTCTAGCAGTCCATGGTATACTTTAGACACATCAGAGTTGTATAATTAATGGGTTAAAAGCTGTTGATGAATCATTATATAATGTATGACCACTGTTGGTTCGGCAAAATGATAAATCTAGCAAGGCTTTGGAACCAAGGGTGCCAGAAATTTGGTGGTGTACCTGTACTAAGATTTAAGTGAAATTTTTTATTTTGATCTTCAAAAAAATAGTTCCAAAAAGATGAAAAAGCCTGATATAAATACTTAAAATTTTAATAATTAGTAATTGCATATGTAGACATGATTATTTACATATACAGTGGAACCTCGGTATACGACCTTATTCCATTCCTGATGTTTGGACTTATACTGAATAGGACGTATACCAAATCAACCTTTCCCATAAGAAATAATGTAAAAATGATTAATCCGTTCTCATGTAAAAAAAAAAATGGCTGACTCTAAACACCTCGCTTTCCTAGCTAGTTCCTGCTTGATTTTTCATAAGATCAGTATGTATCTTTTTAGCTTTTTTGCAAATAATTGCTTCTGATATGCTGTCACCAGCACACTGTTTTTCAGTTATCCAAAACAAAAGCAATTTCTCAACATGATATAATGTCTTCAATCTCTGTTTAGAAATTGATTTAACTCCTTTCGCAACGTTAAGAGATTTAATAATGTCTTTATTTTTCACGATTGTAGATATTGTCATTTTTGGAATATCATATGCAACAGTTAAATCTCAAACACTCATACCACCTTGATATTTCTCAATAATCTTTTTTTCAGTTCCATTGTGATTCTAGTCATTTTTTTAGTTTTCTGTTGCTTTTCATTTGCCTTTTTGCATTTCATGATTAATAAAAATAATAAAATTTTACTTAAAATTTAAAATCGGAAGAAATTTAACAAAGTTATAAACCATGGCACTGCGAATGTCTAGTCTGGTCTAGTACATCGATAGTGCTACTTGTTCATAGATGGCAAGTATAATTGAATTAAGTCGTATACCAAGCAAAATTTGTTTCGTCCAAACAGGACGTATTCCAAATTGGACATATTCTAAAGCAGATGTATACCAAGGTACCACTGTACTTGATACATTAATATGAGTAACATAGCAAACTATACAAGAAATCAGGATAAAGTATTACAGAAAGAAGGAAACAGAAATACAGTAACCACATGTAAATGTCATAAAATCTAAGATCTAGAAAACGATAATGCTGAATTAAATTCTCCCTTGAATACTGAGGTTTTCCAGCAATCACCCTAGATAGGAAGGCCATGTTATAAGAAAATCTAATTAAGATTTAAATTTTTTCACACGCACAAACTCCTTACAATGAACTGTCATAGAGACTTCATTTCATATTAATGATAAAACTTTTCAATTGAAAACTTCTTAGAAATCCTTATGCTTAATACCTCCATAGCTGAAAATGGATCTTAAACTCACTAATGTGAAACTTGTAATGATATTATATCAATTTAATAATTGTCGTGTAAGAAATCAAGCCCAAATTGTAGGTTTGTGTAGAATAATTGGTAATGCATGCACAGTAAGCAAGAGTTGCAGGTTCGAGTCCCGCTCCAGATTGATCTTTTCTTCTTCAATATTCTAAATAAATTTAATATGAGACGGCAATTTAGTCCCATATATTTAACTGTTTGATTAATTTAATAATAATTATGTATATTAAAATAATGTTTTGTTTTAGTATTTTGTTATGGATTATTATTGCGGAGGTGACCTCCTGACCTTACTCAGCAAATTCGAAGACCATCTACCGGAAGACATGGCAAGATTTTACATATCGGAAATGGTGTTGGCCATCGATTCCATACACAAATTAAATTACGTTCACCGTGACATCAAACCGGATAACGTTCTTCTCGACGCAAACGGTCACATTCGACTAGCCGATTTCGGTTCCTGTCTGAAATTGTGCGAAGATGGCACTGTAAGTCTAAAAATCTTACAGAAATTGATCTTTAACTTTGTTATATTGTTAAATTATTTGGTATATTTAATTTTAAAAATATATTTATTAGGTGCAATCAAATGTTGCAGTCGGAACTCCTGATTATATATCTCCCGAAATATTAAGGGTATTAATATTTTTTATAATTCTATATATGCTTAAATCGGCATATATTGATAATTTACATAGTTTTATAACCAAAGTTTTTGACCAACAAAAAATTATTCTCATATTTAGGCAATGGAAGACGGCCAAGGCCGATATGGAGCTGAATGTGATTGGTGGTCGTTAGGCGTTTGCATGTACGAAATGTTATATGGAGAAACGCCCTTTTATGCTGAATCGCTCGTAGAAACCTATGGAAAAATTATGAACCATAAGGTAATGCAACGATTGGAATATTATTATTATTGGGTGTATTGGTAGAATTTGGTATTATATCATGTTATTTTAACTTATGTGATTTGTGATGAGCTTAATCTAATAACATTAGTCTGATAACAATATGGGTAATTACAATAAATGAATTTCAGTGTATATTCAAGCCATATAATCTTTGTTTGGATAAAATTATTATTGTAATGTAAAATTAGAAGTGAGTCTTTTTTGAAATCAGTTCTGATTTTTCCTCCAGGTACAGTTAAATATAAACATCAGATCTATTAAAAGTATTACTTAACTCAGCTGTGATTGCCTTAAATGTGCAGTGTTTATCAACTTGGTTTATTTAGTAAAACTAAGTCTAAATCCCATTAATGTTTTGTAATGATGATCGAAAAATCTTTTCTCGTTTTAAATTTCTAGAATTGTTTCGAATTTCCTGACGATTTATGTTACGAAGTATCAACTGAAGCCAAAGACCTAATGCAGAGACTGATATGCAGTGCCGAATGTAGGTTGGGTCAGAACGGATTGGAAGATTTCAAAAATCATCTTTGGTTTGCTGGTGTCGACTGGGAAAACATAAGAGAGAGTAATGCGGTTTTCTTTGTTGTTAAGTTATATATTTGAGTAATATAACAGTAAAAAAATATAATAATAAATTAATTGTTACAGGTGATGCTCCTTACGTACCAGAGGTCGCCAGTGCCACCGATACTTCTAATTTTGATGTTGATGAAACGGATTTAAAAGGCTCAGTGAGTAAAGATTTAATTTTAGATGAAATAAGGAACTTTTCATACTGTGAATTTGCATACTTTAGTAAACACTTGCATACAAAGCATGATTGGTGGCTTTGTGACTTAATTGTTATTTTACGAAACACTTTATCATCTTTAATTTATTACATTAGTTTCATTGTTTAGCAGCAGTTTTTGAACTTTATAAAATCTTTCAAAAAAAAAAAAAAAAAGTTTGAGAGAGTGAATTGAGGAATGAATTTGCAGAAAAATCTATTTTAGAGATTGTTTTATGGAAACATTAAACTGTTAAGAGAATTTTCAATGATTATACTTTAAGAAAAGTGCTAATTTCTTATAACAATACATCATAACGGAAAACAGTACAGTGTTTTTGTTCGAATTTGACACTACTTATGACTCAGATAATGTCAAACCTTACCACATGCATGAATTACCACATACAACCATTACAATCATTATTCATTCAATAAAACATGGAATTGCAATTCTTTGGCTACCACTCTGTTACACTGATCTAGCTCCTAACTGTTTTTTGCTCACCAAATATTTAAAAAAAACACCTGGAAAAATTTTGTTATCTTCAAAGGAAGCAAACAAGTCACAAAAGCATATTGAAGCTCGGGATAATTATTTTTCAATCCATTCCTGGAATTTTTTTAGCATTCTTTTATATATTTCTACTATTCAATTTGAAGATATTTGCTGCAAAATAATAATAAAAAAATCAATATTTTGAAATACTTTCATATGTTAAATTAATCTTTTATATTTGTACTTTACAGGAATCTGTTCCTCCTACATCAAATTCAATATTTTCTGGTCTTCATTTGCCATTTATTGGATTTACTTTCACATCTGGAAGGTATATTTGATTTTTATACCAATTTTATTATTTGTATTATTAATTTTATTGTATATTACTTTTTAATCTTAAAACAAGTAAAAATTTACAGCACTAAAAAGTATTCAAATGGAATACTTTTTAAATGAAAGTTAACTTTCCTTCTGATTTCGAAAGCAAAGACTTAAAATTTTAGAATCTTTTGAAGAATTTAAATTGTCTGTTCTGGAAGGCAGACAAATTTTTTACTCCAAGGATTTGAAATTATTGATTTTTTTAATTAATAAATCTTTAAGTTAATATTATATTAAACTATCTTAAATGGTAGATTTCATAATCAAGTGTCAAGAATTTAGTAAAAATGTCATCTCTACAATTTAAAATTCTGTACTTAATGTTTGTCTTAAGAAGCTTTTTTGACAACACATCTTTCATTTTAAAACAAAAATCAAAAATTTTTGATTTTTGTTTTAAAAACTGGGTTTAAAGGCTGGTTCTCACTACAATGGAATCTGTGATGATAAGTATATAAGCCGTGGCATAGTAGTCACCACAACTTCAGTCTGTCATGGAAAAGAAGTTGCTTACAAGTCAAGTCAAGCCCAACTTTTACTGTGATGGCAAGCAGAAAACTAAAACAAGCTTTTTACTTTGATGTCATTCAATGACAAATTCATTACCAGTCTGGCTTTTCTGACATGCACTTCACAGATATGCCATTTGACAACATTCTGTGGTAACAAGAATAGCACTATGGCTTCTGCATTGGTAAGTCATTGCGTAAGCCATTGTAAGTTAGAACTAGCCTTATAAACCTATCCCATGTTGAAATTTTTCTTCATTGCGTGTGACTGCCATGTTGAATTTTTGTCAATGTTAATCCTAACGAAAAAATTTTTTAAAATAATAATCGTGGATACTGTATCGTTAAAAATTATTTTTTTATTTTGCACAAACAAAATAAATATATTGAAAAATATAAAAACAGAAAAAAATTATGTTTTGAAAGTTCATTTTAATATAAAAATTATGATGCATAGCGACATCTAGTATCAAAAATGTACCGATACTGTAACGAGATATATCGGGTTTAACCCTGTGGGTCAAAGGTCACAACCCTGATATATGTCTGGAATAACAGGTGAGGTTAAAGTGATAAACTTTTACTGGAAATTATAAATAATTATATTTTCAAAAATATATTTGAATTTAAGAAAAATTTTAATAGGAGATAACAGCTTATATACTTAAGATATAATATAAACAGTAATATACTTAAGATATAAGACAAGAATACATGAGATAAAACCAACTGATGAAGGGTAATAATAGCCTTAAGTGTATTTTTTGGTTTAATAAAATCTCGGTGTACTTTCCTATTGGAAACTGTTGTATAAGTCCTTCAAATTCATAGTAAATTTAAAAATAGCTATTAAGAAGATTAATTAATATACCTTTTTGAATTCTAGAATGCTGAAATTTCAAAATTTAACTTAGAATTTGATTTTAAAAATAATTAATCTGAACTATTTTACCAAATTTATTTACTTTTACTTACATGACTAGAGAATTAATGATAAGATATTAGCTTACTCATAAAATTAAGTTAGCTACTTCTAGTTCTGTACCCTCAATATATATAAATGATATATGTGAACAACTCTTTTTAGGCTTGTTATAAGGCCTGTAATTTTCAACTTAACTTCAAAAAGTTTTCATTTATAAACATAACTTTTGCATTAGAAACAATGAGAAAAATATGTATTTTAATTGAAGACTCCTGTAATAAAATAAGTTTAAAATCATGATATGCATACAAAATTCATTCGCAGAGCATACATTCAGACATGTAGATCAATATTTAATTAAAGATAACAGCAATTAATTCATCAAAAAGTATATAAATAGTAAAAGAACTATTATTTTGCAAATGCATTTAATCTATTCAGAAGTTGTTTTATGTACTGCATTTATAATTACTGTGTTTGCTTGATTCTAATGTGTTAGCAAATCTAATGTGCACTCAAGTTTCAAGACATCAAAACTACCGAAATTAAAGAAAGAAAGAAAAAAAAAGGCAAATGTGATGTGTGCTTTGTATCACCAGACATACAACAGAAAAAATTTAATGTATTTAAACAGTAATAAATGCTTGAGTGCTTCATAATATCCATATTTTCAAATATGTTCATTTATGACTTCATTATCAGATGTAAAGAATCTGCAGACCAATACAAATTACAATACGAGTTACATTTTAATGGCAATGTTTTGTGTCAGTATGTTTGAGCTTGAAATTTACAGATAGGTTGTATCACTCTGAAATATCCGTAAATGTGTTCTCCAGCATAGTAGATAACTCTCCACTTAAATGTAGATTTATAGGAGACTCGTCTGCTGGACGTCATTCATTCGGATAGCTATAGTTCAAAGACCACCGAATCATTCCAAAACCAAAATTAAAATCAAAGTAACGGAGAGGGTTATTTACTGTGACTATACAGACGACACACAGACACAAATTGCCAAGCAGAGTGAAGAGGAAACAACACAAATGACATTGCATTAAATCTGATTCTAACACTTGCCCCAATTTTTGAGACCAGAAAAGTTCCAAAAGAAAGGTATGCATTGCACTCAAGAAAAATCAGCAGTAAAGGTTAACTGCCATAATTTCCTTTTTACAAGAGAAATAAAATTATTAAATATTTTTTAACTTTTTTTCTGTCTTAATTAAATTTAAATTATCAAATTTTATATATGAAATATTTTGTTACTCGAAGCCAATTCTCGGGTATCCTGTGTGACGCATCTAGTCAAGATCAAATCGATAGTGCAACACTTAGTAAACGAGAATTAAAAATACAAAAGTTGGAGCAAGAGAAAGCTCAACTTATTAAAAAGTTAAAAGGTAATTTGTTTGTTTTTTGCATTTAATTTAGTCTCATAACACTAGTTTTAAGTTTTGTGGATATATACAAGTAGTCCTCTGTTAATGCAGTAGGTATACAAAGTACAGTACTTTGACACTGATCTGTATATATTTCGAGGGAGATCAACTAATGATGACGAGTAAGAAAAATTGTCCCATCGAATTTTGAGCAGATATTAAAAAACAAGGCATACATGTTGTGTACAGTGTACTTATTTCTCCTAATTTTTGTAGTATAGCATATAATAAAAATAGGCATATATCTTAGGAGGTGACAATTTGCTAGTAGAAAAATATTGGGGGAGACATGTCCCATCTGTTCTGTACAGATTTGTCGATTTGTAGGAAACAGAGGGGACATATAGATCTTCTCCAGAACTACATCATACTGAGAATTGGTGCATAGGACAATTGTCCCTAATTAATAAATGCAATAAAATGAAAATGCATTAGATGTGTGTTAACTGAAAACTACTTGTATTAAAAAATAACAATTATAAAAATTTTAAACTATTGTTGATTTTTTTTAAGATAATTTAGTTACAGGTAACCCCCGTATAACACGGCACTTCTATAGCACGGATTCGCTCTAACACGGTTCGAGAATTGGTACCATCCCCCGTATAACATGGTACTTTTATAGCACGGATTCACTCTGACACGGTTCGAGAATTGGGTAAAACCCTTGTACAACAGGAAATGTAATAAATTTTTACATACTTAAGTAATAATAGTTCACGAAAATTATTATTTTCGTGAACTATTAGTACTTAAGTATGTAAATTTTCTCTTCTCGCCTTCTGTCGATACACGTGGTCCTTCTCGAAACTTGTTTCAATGTTGCCAGATCGCGACGCTTCTGCTTCTGATGTTGCCGAATGTTTTTCCCTTATTCCATACTTGCTTTATTCTTCATAAGTGCTTAGCACCATATAAGGAAATTTATAAAGACCTTTTAACTAGAAGCAAGCAATCTAAAATTACATACATTTTGCAAAAGGTAAAGCATGGATCTGAAGATAATGCAGAAAAATGCTCAGAGGATAAGGATAACTTGCCAAAAAGAAAACGCTCTCGGTTAATTAATAGTGTTTTTAGTGATGACGAAGAAAATATTGTTTAATTTATATTAATATGTATCACTTAAAAAATTTTAATGAAGATATTTATCTTAATTATGAAAATATAATAGCATGTTTTTTTTAATTTTTGGAACCTAACCCTCCTTTTCGTATTACTTCTTTGTTTCGTATAACACGGATTCGCATAACACGGCAATTTTTTGGAACGTAACTACCGTGTTATACGGGGGTTACCTGTACATATATTTTTTTTCTACATAGAAATGGGAAAAATCCTCGAACAGCATGGTGTTGCGATGGATCCCGACGATCATAAGATACTGAAGAACTCAACAGTCGATGCCGAAGTCAGAAAATACCAAGATGAGATTAATATTTTAAGAAAAAAGAATTCTGGTAAAAGTTTGTTTTTTTTTAGCTGACTTTGATATCTTTTTTTTAATAATTATTTAATATAAAATTTATTTCAATAAATTCTACTAGAGATGGAAGCTGAACTCTGTAAGTTAATACAAGAACATAAAGAAACTATAAATAAGAAACAAGAACTAGAATCCCTACAAGATGAAAAATCTGCTCGAATTAAAGAATTAGAAAGAGCCTTCAGAATTTTAAAAGCTGAAAGAGAAGACATGCACAAAGTAATTGACAATTATTAACAAAATAATTGGATTAGCCAATTATTTAACAAATTATATTTTTTTAGGATTATATAGAAGCTCAGGAAAAATTGAGATTACAGTCTAAAGAACTGAAAGATGCTCTTGCACAACGAAAATTAGCTATGACAGAATATACTGAAGTTAGCGATAAGTAAGTATCTATGTAGTTGTGAAATTTGAGTAAAGTTTGTTTGGTTTAATTTACGTATAACATTATATATTTTGTGCTCATATCATAGCTTCTATTATTATTCTGGTAATTTTATGTTAAGTTTTTAAAATAAATACTAATAAATAAATTATTTTGTAAAGGTTATCTGAATTGCGAGCACAAAAGCAGAAGTTATCGCGGCAAGTACGTGATAAAGAAGAAGAATTTGAAACTGTCATGCAAAAAATTGATAATTTGCGACAAGACCTCAGAAAAGCGGATAAACTGAGACGCGAAGTAAGTTACTTTTTTCCGATTTAATGCATGCATTTATTACGTAAGTAAATTCAAAGTGTTTTATTAGCTCGAAGGAAGGATGGAAGAAGCGCAAACCGAAGCCACCAAAGAGAGAAGATTGAGGGAAAGAAGCGAAGAATACGCACACCACTTGGAAGAAGAGATGGAAGCCTTAAAGCAAAGACAGATAGGCCGTTCTACAAGCCCAGTGCATTTGGAAGCTGTTCAAGAAGCCAGCCGGTAATATTTCGAAACTTGTTATTCATTTATAATTTTATAAATTCATGGTTTTATTAAGTTATAATAAAACTGTAATTGCTTTTATTAGTTTGAAACTAGAACTAGAAAATTTAGAACTTCAGCATGGAGAAATCTTAAGTCAGCAGCAATCTCGGTATCAGACAGAACTTGCTTGTTTACAAGAACAATTGCAAGAAGTTGATAGTGCAAGAGAAGCAGCCGAGAGAGAGGTAGTTAATTTAAATATTATGAAGTTTAACATTTGATTAAAAAATGTACAAAATAGTCTTTGTGTGGAACAAAATGTTTTTTTATTATTTCAAAATTAAAATGAGAATATATATTTATATTAATGACTTTATAATTTACTTCTGTTTTAGATTTTAGTACTTAAAGAGAAAATTGAGGAAACAAGACATGAATGGTAAGATGATAATTGTATTCATTAAATCTTAGTTTATGATTATTCATAAAATTTAATTAAATAATAATAATTCTATTACATTCTATTTTATATAAGTAGACTATATGTGTGTCTGTCTAGTTTGTATACACTCCTAAATCCTTTGATTGATCTCAGGTTTTTCATAGTTGAGAACACTGCCAAGATAGAACTAGACAGAATCAATCAAAAACTGCTTACAAACATATAGTATATTTCTAATGTTTTCAGTCAACATAGCAGACCTTTGTTTCCAAGATAGAATGTTCATATACTATAATTGAATATCATACTTTTCATAGTTACTCTCTAGGACCCTGTGAGAGAAATATTGGATATCATAAAATCAGTCATTCCTATTTCTATTTTTATTCTTCATATTACCCCACATACTCTTTGATTGACCTAGATCAAAGTTTTTAGACACTCTTTCTAGGATCCTGTGAAAAATATAGGCTATCATAAAATATAACTACCTCTTGATTTCATCCTTTTGACACTGATAATTTAAGTTTAATACATTATCATTGTAGGTACTGAATTAGACCTACAGGCACGAATAAACCAACATCCCAGCTGCATATAAAAAAATAAACCCAAATTTTATATTTTCTAGGCTACATATTACAGCCTATTCAAAATTGTAAATATTGTGTCATACGTCTCGTTGTCGGTGTTACTTTCAGAATTATTTTTTGGTTTTAATTTAATATACAGTACCCTGTAGCCACTTGCATTAACATGTACAAAAGTAATTTTGAGTAAATAAACTTAGTTTTGAATGGCTTCGCAGGCTCAAATAAGCCCACGCCTCAAATTGATTTTAAAAAATAGACCCATAATCTATCTATTCAAGTGCATATGGTATATAAGCAAGCTTTTAATAGAGTTTTAATTTTAACGTTTGCCCATGCAGTGCCTGGCATATCTACTAGTTAACACTAAATTGTAAACTATATATTAACAACTCTTAAGGTACATAAAAAATTTAAATTGAATAAACATTGTAAAATTAAAAAGTTTGAAACTAAGATTGTTTTAAATTTTGATCTTAGTTTTGAGATTTTTGATATGACATAAATTTCAAATTTGTTTGAGGAATTATCAAAAGAATAAGAAGAAAAATTGAAAATACATGTGTTTCCCTCAAACATCTTAGTTTTAAACTGTTCTATAAAATCCATTTGTTGTTCAGATGTGTGAATAAAATGTATTGGAGAACGTCAATCAATACTCCAAGTTCCATATACATACACTTGAAAATTCTGCCACCACACAGTCTAGGTTGCCAAAGTCTCATTTCTCAGTCTGCATGATCATGTGACATCATCTCTTTGGACTTTTTTTTATGGGCACATCAAGAATCGTGTGTATGCTACAAAAGTGTCAGATGTGAGAGTCCATGTACGAGAATTAGTAACTAATAACTAACTCAAAAATAGTAACTAATTTTTTGGATGCACTTTCTATTATCATTGTACTATATTTGCATTTCTTTTTCAAAAATTAATCCACAAAACTAGACACATTTGAAGGGAACACTACATATTTTGAGATCACTCCATCTTTTAACAATGTCCATTGGAAGTAATGCTAGTAATATAATATAAAAACTGATATTTTTGATGAAATAGTTAAATTAGTTAAATGTGTAATAAATTTTACTTTTCAAAATTCTGATTTTTTTTTAATGTATAAAAAGCTAATTATGCTGGAACAGTGTTTGATTCCTTGCAAATGCAATACAGTAGACCCCCCTATAACGCTTAGATACGTTCCGCGCTAATCGAATTTTACGTTATAGGAATGATTAAATACATGATCCAATCGCAGCCCAATAGGTGGGAACCTTACCGACTAAGGCTGTTCGAAAGGTTTTCTTCTATAAAATTAACCGATCCTAGACTAATTCCACTCAACATTTCCAAAACACGTATAATTTTTTGGGAGTAATCCGTATAAACTATGCTATAAACAAAAAATTATAGGATTACTTACCGAGTGTGTACCGTTCGACTACGCCGTTGCTTAAAGCTGGTTTTCATCGCGGAANTATAATTCTATATATGCTTAAATCGGCATATATTGATAATTTACATAGTTTTATAACTAAAGTTTTTGACCAACAAAAAATTATTCTCATATTTAGGCAATGGAAGACGGCCAAGGCCGATATGGAGCTGAATGTGATTGGTGGTCGTTAGGCGTTTGCATGTACGAAATGTTATATGGAGAAACGCCCTTTTATGCTGAATCGCTCGTAGAAACCTATGGAAAAATTATGAACCATAAGGTAATGCAACGATTGGAATATTATTATTATTGGGTGTATTGGTAGAATTTGGTATTATATCATGTTATTTTAACTTATGTGATTTGTGATGAGCTTAATCTAATAACATTAGTCTGATAACAATATGGGTAATTACAATAAATGAATTTCAGTGTATATTCAAGCCATATAATCTTTGTTTGGATAAAATTATTATTGTAATGTAAAATTAGAAGTGAGTCTTTTTTGAAATCAGTTCTGATTTTTCCTCCAGGTACAGTTAAATATAAACATCAGATCTATTAAAAGTATTACTTAACTCAGCTGTGATTGCCTTAAATGTGCAGTGTTTATCAACTTGGTTTATTTAGTAAAACTAAGTCTAAATCCCATTAATGTTTTGTAATGATGATCGAAAAATCTTTTCTCGTTTTAAATTTCTAGAATTGTTTCGAATTTCCTGACGATTTATGTTACGAAGTATCAACTGAAGCCAAAGACCTAATGCAGAGACTGATATGCAGTGCCGAATGTAGGTTGGGTCAGAACGGATTGGAAGATTTCAAAAATCATCTTTGGTTTGCTGGTGTCGACTGGGAAAACATAAGAGAGAGTAATGCGGTTTTCTTTGTTGTTAAGTTATATATTTGAGTAATATAACAGTAAAAAAATATAATAATAAATTAATTGTTACAGGTGATGCTCCTTACGTACCAGAGGTCGCCAGTGCCACCGATACTTCTAATTTTGATGTTGATGAAACGGATTTAAAAGGCTCAGTGAGTAAAGATTTAATTTTAGATGAAATAAGGAACTTTTCATACTGTGAATTTGCATACTTTAGTAAACACTTGCATACAAAGCATGATTGGTGGCTTTGTGACTTAATTGTTATTTTACGAAACACTTTATCATCTTTAATTTATTACATTAGTTTCATTGTTTAGCAGCAGTTTTTGAACTTTATAAAATCTTTCAAAAAAAAAAAAAAAAAGTTTGAGAGAGTGAATTGAGGAATGAATTTGCAGAAAAATCTATTTTAGAGATTGTTTTATGGAAACATTAAACTGTTAAGAGAATTTTCAATGATTATACTTTAAGAAAAGTGCTAATTTCTTATAACAATACATCATAACGGAAAACAGTACAGTGTTTTTGTTCGAATTTGACACTACTTATGACTCAGATAATGTCAAACCTTACCACATGCATGAATTACCACATACAACCATTACAATCATTATTCATTCAATAAAACATGGAATTGCAATTCTTTGGCTACCACTCTGTTACACTGATCTAGCTCCTAACTGTTTTTTGCTCACCAAATATTTAAAAAAAACACCTGGAAAAATTTTGTTATCTTCAAAGGAAGCAAACAAGTCACAAAAGCATATTGAAGCTCGGGATAATTATTTTTCAATCCATTCCTGGAATTTTTTTAGCATACTTTTATATATTTCTACTATTCAATTTGAAGATATTTGCTGCAAAATAATAATAAAAAAATCAATGAATTTAATAGTATTAGTGGCATAAGCTTTCTTACTATCGTTTCAATTAATTATCAGTCAGAAAATATTTGCATTAATGGAGCAGTAATAACCACTGTTCAGTTAATGATTTACTACTAAACTTTACATGCCCTGTACCTGTAATTAGGTAACATGACTATAACATAAGAAATTTCTTTTATACATCATCTTTCTAAACAATTATTTTCTCCAGTTTATCTAGAAAATGCTTGTCTTGATTTTTTATGTGTATGTTTCTTAGTTTTGTAAGCTTCTCTTGCAGGAAAATTATAAAACTCAGAAATATATTAATGGCTTCTTCATTTCTATGAACATGAATGAGGAATGTGGCTTGTGTTTACTTGTAATAGACAAGAAGCAGCATCAAAAATAACTAATTTAAACATCAGAGATTATTGTATTTGGTCTATTTAAATCTTGTTTCTTTCATTGAGGCAACATTTAAAATGAAATAATACTTGGGANTAAGTTAATATTATATTAAACTATCTTAAATGGTAGATTTCATAATCAAGTGTCAAGAATTTAGTAAAAATGTCATCTCTACAATTTAAAATTCTGTACTTAATGTTTGTCTTAAGAAGCTTTTTTGACAACACATCTTTCATTTTAAAACAAAAATCAAAAATTTTTGATTTTTGTTTTAAAAACTGGGTTTAAAGGCTGGTTCTCACTACAATGGAATCTGTGATGATAAGTATATAAGCCGTGGCATAGTAGTCACCACAACTTCAGTCTGTCATGGAAAAGAAGTTGCTTACAAGTCAAGTCAAGCCCAACTTTTACTGTGATGGCAAGCAGAAAACTAAAACAAGCTTTTTACTTTGATGTCATTCAATGACGAATTCATTACCAGTCTGGCTTTTCTGACATGCACTTCACAGATATGCCATTTGACAACATTCTGTGGTAACAAGAATAGCACTATGGCTTCTGCATTGGTAAGTCATTGCGTAAGCCATTGTAAGTTAGAACTAGCCTTATAAACCTATCCCATGTTGAAATTTTTCTTCATTGCGTGTGACTGCCATGTTGAATTTTTGTCAATGTTAATCCTAACGAAAAAATTTTTTAAAATAATAATCGTGGATACTGTATCGTTAAAAATTATTTTTTTATTTTGCACAAACAAAATAAATATATTGAAAAATATAAAAACAGAAAAAAATTATGTTTTGAAAGTTCATTTTAATATAAAAATTATGATGCATAGCGACATCTAGTATCAAAAATGTACCGATACTGTAACGAGATATATCGGGTTTAACCCTGTGGGTCAAAGGTCACAACCCTGATATATGTCTGGAATAACAGGTGAGGTTAAAGTGATAAACTTTTACTGGAAATTATAAATAATTATATTTTCAAAAATATATTTGAATTTAAGAAAAATTTTAATAGGAGATAACAGCTTATATACTTAAGATATAATATAAACAGTAATATACTTAAGATATAAGACAAGAATACATGAGATAAAACCAACTGATGAAGGGTAATAATAGCCTTAAGTGTATTTTTTGGTTTAATAAAATCTCGGTGTACTTTCCTATTGGAAACTGTTGTATAAGTCCTTCAAATTCATAGTAAATTTAAAAATAGCTATTAAGAAGATTAATTAATATACCTTTTTGAATTCTAGAATGCTGAAATTTCAAAATTTAACTTAGAATTTGATTTTAAAAATAATTAATCTGAACTATTTTACCAAATTTATTTACTTTTACTTACATGACTAGAGAATTAATGATAAGATATTAGCTTACTCATAAAATTAAGTTAGCTACTTCTAGTTCTGTACCCTCAATATATATAAATGATATATGTGAACAACTCTTTTTAGGCTTGTTATAAGGCCTGTAATTTTCAACTTACTTCAAAAAGTTTTCATTTATAAACATAACTTTTGCATTAGAAACAATGAGAAAAATATGTATTTTAATTGAAGACTCCTGTAATAAAATAAGTTTAAAATCATGATATGCATACAAAATTCATTCGCAGAGCATACATTCAGACATGTAGATCAATATTTAATTAAAGATAACAGCAATTAATTCATCAAAAAGTATATAAATAGTAAAAGAACTATTATTTTGCAAATGCATTTAATCTATTCAGAAGTTGTTTTATGTACTGCATTTATAATTACTGTGTTTGCTTGATTCTAATGTGTTAGCAAATCTAATGTGCACTCAAGTTTCAAGACATCAAAACTACCGAAATTAAAGAAAGAAAGAAAAAAAAAGGCAAATGTGATGTGTGCTTTGTATCACCAGACATACAACAGAAAAAATTTAATGTATTTAAACAGTAATAAATGCTTGAGTGCTTCATAATATCCATATTTTCAAATATGTTCATTTATGACTTCATTATCAGATGTAAAGAATCTGCAGACCAATACAAATTACAATACGAGTTACATTTTAATGGCAATGTTTTGTGTCAGTATGTTTGAGCTTGAAATTTACAGATAGGTTGTATCACTCTGAAATATCCGTAAATGTGTTCTCCAGCATAGTAGATAACTCTCCACTTAAATGTAGATTTATAGGAGACTCGTCTGCTGGACGTCATTCATTCGGATAGCTATAGTTCAAAGACCACCGAATCATTCCAAAACCAAAATTAAAATCAAAGTAACGGAGAGGGTTATTTACTGTGACTATACAGACGACACACAGACACAAATTGCCAAGCAGAGTGAAGAGGAAACAACACAAATGACATTGCATTAAATCTGATTCTAACACTTGCCCCAATTTTTGAGACCAGAAAAGTTCCAAAAGAAAGGTATGCATTGCACTCAAGAAAAATCAGCAGTAAAGGTTAACTGCCATAATTTCCTTTTTACAAGAGAAATAAAATTATTAAATATTTTTTAACTTTTTTTCCGTCTTAATTAAATTTAAATTATCAAATTTTATATACGAAATATTTTGTTACTCGAAGCCAATTCTCGGGTATCCTGTGTGACGCATCTAGTCAAGATCAAATCGATAGTGCAACACTTAGTAAACGAGAATTAAAAATACAAAAGTTGGAGCAAGAGAAAGCTCAACTTATTAAAAAGTTAAAAGGTAATTTGTTTGTTTTTTGCATTTAATTTAGTCTCATAACACTAGTTTTAAGTTTTGTGGATATATACAAGTAGTCCTCTGTTAATGCAGTAGGTATACAAAGTACAGTACTTTGACACTGATCTGTATATATTTCGAGGGAGATCAACTAATGATGACGAGTAAGAAAAATTGTCCCATCGAATTTTGAGCAGATATTAAAAAACAAGGCATACATGTTGTGTACAGTGTACTTATTTCTCCTAATTTTTGTAGTATAGCATATAATAAAAATAGGCATATATCTTAGGAGGTGACAATTTGCTAGTAGAAAAATATTGGGGGAGACATGTCCCATCTGTTCTGTACAGATTTGTCGATTTGTAGGAAACAGAGGGGACATATAGATCTTCTCCAGAACTACATCATACTGAGAATTGGTGCATAGGACAATTGTCCCTAATTAATAAATGCAATAAAATGAAAATGCATTAGATGTGTGTTAACTGAAAACTACTTGTATTAAAAAATAACAATTATAAAAATTTTAAACTATTGTTGATTTTTTTTAAGATAATTTAGTTACAGGTAACCCCCGTATAACACGGCACTTCTATAGCACGGATTCGCTCTAACACGGTTCGAGAATTGGTACCATCCCCCGTATAACATGGTACTTTTATAGCACGGATTCACTCTGACACGGTTCGAGAATTGGGTAAAACCCTTGTACAACAGGAAATGTAATAAATTTTTACATACTTAAGTAATAATAGTTCACGAAAATTATTATTTTCGTGAACTATTAGTACTTAAGTATGTAAATTTTCTCTTCTCGCCTTCTGTCGATACACG